GGAGGAAACAAATTAGTTAAGATGGGTTTGGAAGACGAGAAGAAGAAAGGAGAAGCTTCAGGAGAGACATCAGAGAAAGAAATTGGGTTAAGCAGAAAGAACAGTGCGAGCTCTTTGTCTCCGACAGAGGATGATGAAGATGATGAACACAAGAAGCTTGAACTCGGTCCCATGATCGCTCTCAAAGAACAGCTCGAGAAAGACAAGGTCTTTTTTTTATATATATATTCATTGATTTGAAATTATATAAATGATACCAAATCATTGATAATGGTGGGATTATGGTTTAGTTATACTGTACAAAATGCCAGTAATTTATTCTTTGGCATATATATATTAGTGAGTGAATATGAATTTGAATAACGTTCTAATTGTTCCTTTTTAGCCAACCAGCAAATTAAGGCTTATTAATCAAATCAATTTTTTTTATTATTTATAATTTCGAAAAAAATTGATAGGATGATGAAAGCTTGAGGAGATGGAAGGAACAACTTATTGGCGTCGTGGATTTGGAGGATGTTGGAGGTAAACCATATTCAGAACTCGGTTTAGATGCTATGGTTTAATGCAAAATAAATATGGTTTTAGAATATCGATTAAGACTCAAACTGTTGTTACTTGTTAGGTATAATCATTAGAAATAGATTATTTCGGCCTCACTTGATCTGATTCAAGTGAAGTACTATGTTCGAGAGGGACGACGATTCATGTTTGTTGGTTAAATGACATTTTGACTTAATTACCTTAATCAGTCACGGTTAAAAGTCCAAGGAAACTGACATAAACTTCTACTGAATCCTGTTTTCGAAGGAAAATGTTTAAAAAATCATACAAATAATGATAAAAATGAAATGCAGAAACGCCGGATCCGGTAGTAAAAATACTAGACTTGACAGTTAGGTCTCCAGACAGAGAAGATATGGTACTGAGGATACCTGATGATGGGTTACCAAACCCGAAAGGCCCTTGGTTCACCGTAAAGGAAGGTTCTAATTACACACTTGTCTTCAACTTCCGTGTAACCAACAATATCGTCTCGGGACTTCGCTATAACAATACAGTCTGGAAAACCGGTGTCAAAGGTATTCTTCGCTATAACGATACATGATAATGTTTTCAAGTTTTCTCTTTTCATCTTTGGTATTTATATTTTGGAGCAGTGGATAGTACGAAAGCAATGCTTGGGACATTTAGTCCTCAAGCTGAGCCATACCAGCATGTGATGCCTGAAGAAACGACGCCGTCTGGTATTTTTGCTAGAGGATCCTATTCCGCAAGAACTAAGGTAAATCATTTCATATACATGACGGAAAAATTGGGTGAACTAAATCATATCGTTACGAAAAATATTCTCCTTATCAAATTTAGTTATATCTCAATATATTTGATGAGTTTGAGGCCTTTTCAAATACAAATAAGTTTTTCTTTGCTGATAAAAGTTCAAATTACTAATTTAGTTTATTGAATATTTCAGTTCGTTGATGACGATAATAAATGCTACTTGGAGATCAACTACACCTTCGATATCCGTAAGAACTGGCAATGATCCATCGAACTAAACATTCTCTTAAGTCTATACCTATATAGACCAAAGCTCTTTCGATTATATAGACCGAAGCTCTTTCGATCATCATTTTTTGTTATCTTTATATTTGATTTTGCAGACTAGAAAACTTACTTAGCTTTTGATTAAATGAGCATGAATAAAAGATATTGTTTTGAGTATTAATGGAATTTTCTTACAACGTTCACAAATTACATCAGCTTTGATCATATACAACACATCTTTTCAACGGACTACGTTTACTAAAATTTTTGGCTCTTTAACAGACTACTTTTACTAAAAAAAATTGGCCATAAGCCAAATGAACTATTAGGATTCCCCCTACAACTTTACGCATTGAAATAACTTTCTGGACGGCTCCTCGAAAAATAGAGGTCATATACACTTT